TTACACTTTCTAATCGTGATTAATCACATTTTTAATTGAATGTTTCAATTTCAATTATTTTGCATTTGGAAATAAAACATGTTAGGCTTTTATTTTGAAGTTTTGTACCGTCTTAAACTGAGAGTACTTTATCTTGTGACTACAGGGAGACTCTGAGGACGACTATCTACGGTGAGCCTGAAGGGACAAAGTAACATGCGATTAATCACGATTAACTGGTTGATGCTAACAGCCTCTAACATGTAAACACGGTTAGTGAAGTTATTTATTGTTTTATTATTATTATAATTCTTATCAGTTCAGTATGTTTCATCCTGAGTGCGGACGCGTCTGTCCTCAGCTTGTCTAAACGTTCCATACTTTTGGATACCACAAGTTTTTAAACACAACCGTCGGACATGTTGACGATTGTTGGTGTCTACGACTTCTGTTTCTGTTGCCGTGGTAACTAATGCTGATCTGTATCGAATCAGTTAGAAAGAGGTCATCTTCTGCATCCATCACACACACCATGTAAAATGTGTTTCTATGACGACGACTCATTGACAGCTTATCAAATATAAAGTATCCCAAACATTAAATATTTAAAGAGACAAATATATAAACTTTAAAGATTAATACCAAAAACAGAGTTTAGTTGAAATCCGATGGTCAGTGAAACAGATATCTTCAGTGTCTTAACGTTTGAAGAGGGAAAAGTTTGCAGACTGTTGGGCGTAGTATGTAGGCGGTTTCAAAGACAGCCACAGAGGTCGTCCATGGGGGCGGAGCTACGCGCTGACATTAGTCACAGGAAACATAAACAGCCTTGAAATGACTGTCTGGAAATCCACAGGATTGAAGACTGTGTGTTTTTGTGTTTGTCCCTTATTAAGCTGTCACACAGACTGACGATTCTTTCAACCAATCAACAGACAGAGTGTCTAGCTCCGCCCCTTTAGGGTCATATAGGGACACTTGTAACCCCAAACAGACGTGTGGCAAGAAAGTAGGACGGAACGGATCGCTTATTCTGGTACTATTCCAAACGGCTGACCGTCAGTGCGTCCTGTATCGAGCAGAACTCAACCGGACCGCTTGGTGGAAACGGGATTTTAGAGTCACAGATCTCAGAGCGGATTATCGATTAAACTCGGCCCCTTTAGCGCCACCTTCAGGACAGACTGCACATGTTCAGCTCTGAGCAGATGAATCCTGAACTCTGCAACCTGTAGGGGGCGCTGGTGTTGAATCATTTTTTTAAATGTAGTTGAGAAGATGAAGCTGAAGGCTGCCGGACTGCCATCAGCAGGTCATCCAGCAGGGGGCGCTGTGAGCAGATCAGCTGTGTTCACTTAGACTTTACGAAGTTATTTCTATATTTTAAAACCTTTATTTCAAATGTCTCTTTACCTTTTTTATTATCTTTTTATTCTGCATTAAAGATGTTTTATTTTTGATTTATTTTGTTCATAAAAACATGCCAACACTTTTTTTTTATCTTTTCTGTTGACTTCTCGCTCGCTGATGTAAATATTTGTCAAACTGTATTTTTTATTCGTGGGGTTTGATGTGGTGGTTTCAGCATCTGATTCATTAGTTGCTATGGTAACCATGAGGTACTTCTTCTCCTTTTTTGCTCTTCTTCTCCTTTTTTTGTAGCAGCAGGGGGCGTAGATCCATCAGTGAAACGTTATGACATCATCGTCCTTGTGTAAATACGGGGAGCAGTAAAATGACGGTCAATGTCGCCTCCATGTTTGTGATGTCATCGCTGCAGCTAAAAATAAAAGATGGAAGGGAGGGGGAGGGGGGGTCTGTGATTGGTTAATTGATTTATTAATTATTGATCTGTGCTGTGCTCTCTGCTCTGTGATCTGCATGTTGGTGGGAAAATAACGACGTATAAAACAAAACTGTTTCAGTCTGTCTTCACAAAAGAAAACTTTATTGACAAAACCGACCATTGTCATGTTTTTATTTTACTGATTCACATCATTCTTTAAAAACAGTTTGAGAACAGTCAGCAGGATTATTATTCTTCAACCCGCTGCACTCACACATCGTACAACGTTAAAGGCACAGTGAGTAGATCTCACCACCAGGGGGCGCTCAATCAAAACAATAACAAAAAGATGACGTTGAGGCGGGCGGGGAATCATGGGAGTGATTCTCTCTGCTACCTTCCCCACCTCCATCCCCGATGAAAACGACCTCTGAGGTGACCGAAGTCATGACGACCGGGTAAAAGCGACCTGAGGAAGAGAATCTGTTTACAGACGAGTTCATGTATCAGAGTTTAATCTACATGATGTTTTTATCACAGCAGCACAGCAGCTTCCAGGAGCAGCTCACGCTTCCTCATGCAGCGGTCTTTGACTTAACATCCGGTGTTTCCATGGCAACGATAAACATGTCGTGTCTCTAGGACCAATAGAACCAGAACTTGTGATCCAAGTTCAGATTTGTGATCCGATTCCAGAACCAGGATCCGTTTTTGGAAGACACTTTGGATTCTCGGACTGCAGGAACTTTTTGAATAGTTCTAGGAACTGTTCGGACCCTCCCCCTTTATAACTGAATCCACACCACAGGAACTATGACCCATTTTAGTTCCTAGAACCCGGTTTAGAGGAACCTTCTGAGCTCCTGCTTCAGAGGGACTTTGAGTGGCGTATTGTAAATGCTCTGAGTTAATCCAGTACCACAAACCGCCATTTTTAAATCCCACTGTAACCGTGAGCAAATAACATTAAATAACAGTCGAAAAACACAGAAGACTACGACGTCCAGGCATTACTGAGCATTTATGCGGTGGAGTACATTTAACTATTTGCTCTGTAAACAAAGTAAATGTTAATTTTTCAGCCACTAAACTCTCTTGCCTCCATAAAATGTGTCTGTAGAGAAGGCAGCCATTACAAAGACCAGGATGTCCTCTACATCCGTGGTTCTCAACTGGTGGTTCTGGACCCAGAGGTGGGTCGCGGAGCCGTTTTCAGTCTGGAAAAAAACCTACCGTTGAAAAGCCTGTGAAGCGCTTTTTAAACATGTTTGTTTTGTTCAGTTTCTTGCTTCTGTCACATGTTTTGAGGTCCAAACGGCACCATTTCTCAGTAAATAAATCTGACTGGTCGAAAAATATCACAACTTTAGGTGTGAGTTCTGACTGGGGGTCCTGACTGCTGCTCTACATGGAACAGTAGGTCTCTGTTTGAAGGCTTTAAAGGTTTTAAAAATACTCTTTGGAGAGTCACAGAGGACAAAGGTGAATTCAGGGTCAACACTCCAACACAGTAGGAGGCGCTCATGCTCCCGGAAGCTGCTGTCCACCCTCCAAAAGACGGAAAGAAGAAGAAGAGAAGAAGAACGTGAGTGAGAGCTAACAACAGCTAACCAGCTAGTTAGCAGCTGGCTAACCTTCAGCTAAAGCCAACGTGATGTCTACAGCCTCTAAGGTGGTTCTCGGTGTTTCTGTGGTTCTGACTCTGAGCACCGTGGCAGGTGTGCACCTCAAACAGACCTGGGACAGACAGGTGAGCCGAGCCGAGCCAAGCCGGACTAACGGGAGCGGGGCTAACAGTTAGCTGTGGAGGGAGGTCACAGGACGATGAAACACTTTCTATGGCGTTTCACAGACAAAAAGAATATTCTTATAAATACATTAAAATAATATAAACGGCTGTTCAGTTTGCGCCGGTGTTACGGTGTAAAGAGTGACCGTGTTATCTGCTGACTTTCAGCCTGAAATGTGTCTGGTTGTCGTGGTTACAGCAGAGAAAGTGTCCTAACAAATGACTCTTAGTTTTGATCATAATTTTAATTAAGTTCATTATAATTGTTTTAGTTAACTATTAAATAAAGTTTTTATCTGTTGTAACCACGACAACCACGCACGCATTTAGTGTGAAAGTCACCAGATAACACGGTCACTCTTTAAACCGTAACACCGGCCACACAGGATGAACCTTGTTTATTACTGTTGTTCTTCAACAGTTTGTTATTATGTCATGCTTTGGGAGTGTTGTCCGTTACATTCATGCCGATAAAGCTTGCAAAGTGAATTAAAAGTTGAACAGGGTGGCTTCGGATCAGTGGTAGGGTCGGTCAGGGTTCGAGCCCCGGTGTTGTATGTTGTCTGGTTCCCGAACGGACCCGACAGCAGATGTTTCCGACTTTGGAGAGGAAACGTAGCTGACCTGGAGAATGCCTGTCTGATCATATTTGCACTGATTTCAAGTCGCGTTTTAAATCTACTGCGGTAAATATGATTGTATGAGTGAGCACTTCATCCCAGCCACCTAAGAAAAATACAAAATAAAGAAAATATAATCCATGTTCATGATCGCGCCGAGCTGGATTCGATCTCACTAAAACTAAATTAACCCCCTAATCAGCTGCGTCCTGCCTTACAGCGTGCACCACCTGAACAGTGACACTTCATCAAATCCATTACGTATTCGTTTATGATGTCAGCCTCCTGGTCACATTTTAGTTTGGCTGCTCCTACAACAACTGGTTACCTCGGTTTATCTTCAGATACCTGCACATGTAAAGGTTTTTACCCGAGGCTACAGCCTTACAGACCACAACATAACAGACCTCTACACCACTTTGACCCATTCTGACAAAGAAATACTTTGAAACAGTGACGATGTATTTCAAAACAAACACTGAGCCACTGTTTGATTCACATGACAGGAGACTGCTGGGTTGATCGTAGAAAAGCACATCGCTTGCATTTATTTACACACATTTTTTCTCTGGTGAGATCGACTCCAGCTCGACACGATCATGCATACATTTTATTTTTTCTCAAGTGTCGTTTGTAGTGCCCACTTATACAATCAGAAGTGGCCGTGGACATTTACATTTGAAAAGCATGGCAATAGAAATGTTCAGGTAGCTTTTCTACGATCAACCCAGCAGTCTCCTGTCATGTGAATCAAACAGTGGCTCAGTGTTTGTTTTGAAATACATCGTCACTGTTTCAAAGTATTTCTTTGTCAGAATGGGTCAAA